CACAAGGTCAATACATCCACCAACTCCGTGATGTCATCATGGAGGAGTGGAAGAGGACTCCAGTGGCAGCCTGTGAAGCTCTGGTGAACTCAATGCCCAAGAGGGTTAAGGCAGTGCTGGAAAATAATGGTGGCCACACAAAATATCGACACTTTGGGCCCAATTTGGACAGTTTCACTTAGGGGTGTACTCACTTTTGTTGCCAGCGGTTTAGACATTAATGGCTGTGTGTTGAGTTATTTTGAGGGGACAGCAAATTTACACTGTTATACAAGCTGTATACTCACTACTTTACATTGTAGCAAAGTGTCATTTCTTCAGGGTTGTCACATGAAAAGATATAATAAAATGTGAGGGGTGTACTCACTTCTGTGATATACTGTACTTCCTAACACTCCACTCTCCACACAATATTCCCATTCTATGCAAATGGAACAAAACACAGAAACCCATTCTGTGCTTTCCACCTTTTCCACATTGGTAAGTAGACTGTACTGTTACCAGTTCTGTTTACCTGTCTTGCTTATAGAACAAGATTTGATGCCAAGGAAGTTTTATTATTGCTAACCAAATTCTTCAGCCCCAATCACTTTGCTTCTAGGTGTTTTCTGAGTAGTAAGTTCACCTAAAAATAAATACTTCGTCCATTTAACAAAAAAAAAAATTAACACCCAGATTTGCAAAACAAAACTATCCTCCATCTGTCTCTCTGCCATCGATGGGTCAAATACCCAGGTGTGAGACCTGGATATTCCACTGGGGAAGTATTGGGGCGGGGGGGAGTCTGTTTTGTTCTGCTGCCTCAATTACTGGCTAGATTAAGGGTGGTAAGCCTCAAAGAGTCCTTGCCAAATAAAAGAATTTGATTGTTGTTCTACAGAAGCACCATGGATAAAAAGTATCTAAAAAACACCCCAAAGCAGACAGGTAATTCAAGCGACTATATTTTACTGACACGGACAGCAACCTAAATGTACTAGGCTTGAATGACCCAACAATGCATCACAAACAACAAATCATAGTGGGCTGTTACATCATAGAAACCTGGAACACTCCCCACAGGGTGGGGTGTATGAGAGCAGCAAGCCACTTTAACAACCCATGGCTTGTTTTGAGGGGTTGTTGAACCCACAGTAGGCTTTCAGGCTGTTCAAAGCTAGGTGACCCACTGCATCGAAGCTTGTGGAAAGAGGGAGGGAAGTTCCCTGCCAACAGGAGCAGCAATGCTTTGCCCTTCTTGCCTCGCTCACCTCAGCCACCAGCAAGGACAGCTGACCCACCTCTGCCCAAGCAGCACTTTGTCACTGACTCGGTGTCCCCTCTCACAGTCAGACGCCCGTTTTTGTTCACTGTGACTTCCCCCTGGAAACTGCATTGCACCGTCTCCTAACTGACAGTCAGTGACAGCTCCTCCAAAGTGCCTGAGCAGCACGTTGGACACCGTCACTGGTTCACCATCACTTTTCATTTTTAGACACAAGAAATTTGCAGTTTTTTTGAAATTTGAAGTTTTTTTCATTTACTTTGAAACAATTCAACTTGCACGAGTGCTCCAAAATGCGAAACCCCACCTTGATGAAGTGCAACAAGCACTCAGAAAGGATGCAAACAGGTTTATTTCTTACTCTGTGCTCTCCTGACAGCCGGACACTTTGGGCACCTTGGAAAGGCTGCCACTGGCTGTCAATCTGTAGACTGTGAAAAGTAATCTACAAAAAAGTATGTGGTTAGGAAAGCCCAAGCAAACATGAAAGGGCTCGCAATCGCGGTGCAGAAAGCAGACAGGGTGGCTTAGCTGCCAAGTTCCCTGGAACAGCAGCTGAAGAACCAAGGGGGGAGGAGTTAGGACAATCCATGGCGAGACCAATGGTCTGTTGGGCGTTCTGCACCGCTCTGAAAACAACCCACCCGCGGCTGCTGATCGACAGAGCTTCAGGTGAGCATGAAGCACAAATACTTCCTACATTTCTGTCCTCACTTCACTTGCCTCTAAACCCATGGAGTTCCTTATCTTTCTCTTATTGTCTTGTGCCAATTGCAAGCTGACAGAGTCCCTAGTTGATTTTAGGGTTGCAGAGATAAGCCTTTGCTCACATATCTGACATCATTGCCATTTAAAGAGCGTCACCTCACCTGATCTGATTGTGTCAGCTTCATAGCCTCCGAAAGATATGCTGTATAAATCACAAAATGAGAAAGGATTAAACCACAGAGATTTATCAGGGTTTGAGGGCAATTCCATACCTGCAACGATAGAGCCACAAACTAACTCCAGGGAGGTATTCTACAGTCCTATTAACAACATATACGACCATTAATCTACTGCAATGCCAATTAAGGCGAAAGCATTTTTTACTTTCAAAAAGGCAGAAGGCATCCCACCCCCATCCCAAACACACACATACAAGAACTTCTGGCGAGTGAATGGAAATTCCCTTTCTTGGAAACAAACTGCTCAATGCCATTAGCAAACGACAGTTCAGCAGCCAAGGTTCAAGCTCACATCTTTCTTCTATCGCGCTCACGCCAACTTGCAAGATTAAAACAGACTTCTGGCCGAGCCAGGATCGCTAATGAAGGTTAACAGCCATTTTGCACCTACCAGGTCTCTAAATTGATGACAGCTACTCAGGCAAAACAGGAGGATTAGGGTTCCTTTTAGCAAATCGCCTCACTGTTACGCACTCACCTGCTGCCTTTCTGTGACAAGAAATGGCTTCGTCGTACTTCCCCACTGCCAGCAAACGGTCAGCTTTTCTGCTCTGCTGATGAGCCTTCAAGAGGGAAAAACAGCTTTTAATACTGGGATTGTTTGCTACTAGTTAGGTATTCCTACTTATTCCGGACTTTCAGTGAAACGGATGTGCAGATATGGAAGGGGGATTGCATGCATTAAGAGCTACAGCTTTGCCTCAGGCATGGTTCAGGACAGCTCAGCCCCTCAGAGACTCACCACTCGGGCCAATTCTGCCTCCATCTCTTCTTGTTTGGGCCAAAAGAACATTAACAACTTTTTTTTATTAATCATGAGCTCAGTACATAACCTTCTGCCAACTGTCTCACCCAGTAGATTCTTATTCTAACCCGGCACCAAGGTGCTAATCAGGACTGCCTTACTTACATAGCCACAGCCATAGTTACCCTGTGCCAGCAAACACCTGCCTTTGGAGGGAATTGCCCCGATTTCTCTTTTCTCTACATCACCTTGTGGAACCTTCTGAAAAAGAATCCCTTAGCAGCAGCACTACGCTCCGGTACTTTCACAACAGAAGCAGTATGCAAACAAGGTGTGCACAGGCACCCACTTTGGATTGGAGCTCACTGGTTTAACAAAGTAGGCAAAGGGAAATTGAGCCTGCGACTCAGCTAGTCCAGGCTCATTTAAATGCCAATTTCTCTCCTTCTGAAAGCCACAGGCAAATCAAGCTCTGAAGTCATCACTAAAAAGGTAAAGGTTTCCCCTTGACATTAAATCCAGTCATGCCTGACTCTAGGGGGCGGCGCTCATCTCCGTTTCCTAGCCGAGGGAGCCAGCATTTGTCCGCAGACAGTCTCCGTGGTCATGTGGCCGGCATGACTAAACACCCAAGTGCACGGAACGCTGTGCCTTTTTATCTACTTGCATTTGCATGCTTTCGAACTGCAAGGTTGGCAGGAGCTGGGACGGAGCAACGGGAACTCATCCTGTTGTGCAGATTCGAACTGGCGACCTTTCGATCAACCAGCCCAGCAGCACAGCGGTTTCAACCACTGCGCCACCTGCTAGCAACTGCTTAATGCCACAGTGGCTATTTCTCCATTTCTTCTTCTTCTTCTACATTTCCTCACTTTTAGCAAAGAATTACTTCTTCCATGGCAGGCATGAAAAGGCGATGAGTTCACTGGAAAGGGAAGTGCACCGAGCAAGACCGAGGCATGCGTCTCTGTGACTGAACAGCACACCAGCTCTTTCTCCAGAAGCAAACAAATAGCAGACATTGGGGGGAAAACATCTTCCACTGACATCTTCACCAGGTTCCTTTAGAACCCTACACATACAATATACTGCATGGCCGGGGGGGGGGGGGGGACAAAGACTGTTCATCTGTTTGTCCCTCTCTCCTACTACTAGAACCCAGTGTATTCCCATGGAAGTGGTGGGAGATTCGGATCAGATAAAAGGATTGGGAAGGATGTCTGTCTTTGCACATTACGTAATTAAACTACTGAATTTGCTGCCACAAGATGTGGTGAGGGGCATCAACCTGTATGGCTTCAAAAGGGAATCAGGCAAATTCATGAAGGAAAAGGCTATTAAAAGCTACTGGTGCTGATGGCTCTGTGCTGCCTCCAGAATCAGAGGCAACATGCCTCTGTGCTCCAGACACTGTAAAACATGGCCAGGAGGTGGAATTCCCTTAACTGGGGGGAAAACTCAACATTACTACAGCTTACCACAATTCTTCCACTTTTGGATACAGCTGTGGAAGACAACTGGATATATTTTTCTCTGGGGTGATACTACGGCAAGTTGCCCTTCTAGCACCTTTTGCAAACTGCTTCTTTTTTAATTTCAGAGATGCTAGAGATCATTCTGGTTCCAAAATGTTTTTCTGGCCTTACAACAGTCTATAGGCACATAGGTGTGGTCAGAAGAGAAAGAACAGTTATCTTGCCAGGCAGGCCTTCAACCTCCTCTGGGCAGCTGGGAGAGATTCCTTGCAGCACAAGCGGGACTAGGGCTTGGGCAGATTCCATTAGCAGGAAGCGCCTAACTCTCCTTTTCAGCCAAGCTGCCTTTCAGTGAAAGCCCCCAAAGACTAACAACCATCCTACACAACAGGAATAAGAGTCACTTAAAAACAGGAGACTACAGAGAAATCCAACACATGCATCCTAAGGAAAAAAGAAAAGAAATTCTATTTCTTTTGAAATAGAATTCTGGCAAGTATTACAAAGACTGACTGAGTGCAGAGAAGAAGCAGACAGCTTATAACAGAAATAAGACAGAGCTGTCCTAGAAGTGCAAAATACCAAGTTTATTTAAAATACAGTTACAATTCTTAGCTTATTCTTGAATCTTTAAATTGACGGTGGTATCCTGTATTTCCTAAAAACCTGACAGCTACATATGCCATCGGTGAGACATATGTTATCAGCTCCTAGGCAGAAAGATTCCTAGCAGAAGCAATACAGCAATACGGATGTAAGAACTTCCCCAAAGCAAATGAAGGATGTATTCTAGCATTCAGTAGGTGAGCTAGCAAACATCAAGACAGAACAGAATTAACTGCTCTGCCACTTGGTCAGATTACTGCACTTAATAGGATGGCTGGCTATTAGGGTTGAAACCACGCTGGGTCACAGCAAACAGCAGCCAGAGTTAAAGATATAATCACTACTGTGGTGTTTCAGGTTGGACACATACACAAAAGAGGCAGCGAGAGAGACGTCTGCTTCCCCAGTTTGAAGCAACCCCTCCACACACACAACGGATGCACTCCATGTGCTTCTGCAGCCCGTGTGTCTCCCCAAGGAAACATACACAATTTCCTGCTGGGCACACGACCAAAAAAAGGAAACATGGCTTGTGTGCACTCTTTCCCTCTTTCAGTGCAACAGCAGAAGCTGCCCTGCATATAAATATAGGGCAATCCACCTTCATGAGTTGTTTATTCCTAAGGTTTACTGCTCCCTTTCAAGCGTGTTGCTTCCAAAATAATCCAGGCTTACCTCTGCTAGCCCTGAAATTGTCTTTGCTCCAGTAACTGCCCTGAAAGCTGTCAGCTGTCAAGCAAACTACATGCCAAGATAGCCTTCCGTTAAGAGGAGGTTACAGCCAAGTGTTACCCAACACGCTTGAATTTCCCTGGTGTGCTGAAACCACCTACGCACTGTGTAGATGTCTTACTCAGTAATCCCACAAATGATTGCAAAACAAAGGTGAAAAGCAGTTTATGTACTCATTTCCTTCAGAAAGTTTTTCCAATTCTTAATATAAACCCACTCTGTTAAAAGCATGACAAGAAAGCTGCGAGTGTGAATGTGGGATTATTGCATGTGGTATTACGCTTGTCCAAATAATGCTATACAACTACCGTGACATATGGTTGCCTCTTCCTTTTCGCCTTGTATTTTCATGCATCCTTCAAACATCTGGGCAGTGCCTGACGCTGCTGCTACACCTTCTGACATTCTGCTGCATCAGAGGAATAGGCCATGCATACACCTGGCTCTGGCGGTTCCTGAAACAACCCTGGAAGCTGGTGGAAATGCTCATTTCTGTGACAGGACACACCAGGAGCCCACCTTTCCATGGACTCGGCTGACCTGTCCCATTCCCAAAATGATAATTCCTCTTAGTTAGCAGGGCCACTAGTTTACGTTGTGCTGGTGGTCCTTGACACAACTGCAGTGGCAACACACGTGCTGCCCAGTGGCCACATTAGGCCTTGTGCTAAGACTTGACCCTGATCAGAGAAGAGCAGCCCTCTAGGACCTGGTGTCCTCCAGCTGATTTGGACTTCAGGAACTCCAACTCAGGAACAATGGTCAGGAACACTGTCAGCTATCCTCGAAAACATCTGGAGAGCACTACGCTGGTAAAGGCTGGGCTAAGGTCTCCACCTGAAACAAACCTGGGAAATTTAACTCCAGTCCATTAGGACCATGGATCTTCTACAGCCCTACGCCCAATTTGTTAATCTTGAGTATGGCAGTGACCAACTCCTTAGCAAGGGTACCGCCAGTCAGAAAGATGAATCCATGTCACTTCAGTGCTTAACACAGACACTCCAACACATAATACTGTGTGACAATTCCCCCCTACCCTCAATCTATGGAGCTAGAGGGAAAGGCAGGAATATGGCCTTAGAAGGGTGCCATACCCACTAGCCCGCCAACCATTGGGGCAAACAACACATTTCTGCATTTGCCACTTGCATGATTCATACTTTACAGCCTTTTCTACCTGTTTTGCCAAGTTTGATTTTTATTTTGAAGGAGCCTGGCCACTGCATGCTTCTTGCCATGAATCATGTGCTGTTGCCTTTATTCATCATCACTTCCTGATTTAGGTAGGTAGCAATATCATCACAGCTGGAAAAACAGTTTGCAGTAAAACCAGTCTCTTGGAGATGCATTTAAGCAAGAACTGTGATCGGTCATCTCTTCTGTGGTTCCACAGTTCTTAGTCAATACTAATAGATGTATTATTCATCAATCTTAGAAGATTACGAAGTAGGAATCCACAGGATTAAACTCTCCTTAGAAGAAAATCACTGATACCCAAGCCAATGCTTGCTAACAGAGCAGGAGTGACACAGACGTTTATTTCTCCACCCCCTTTTCCATTTTTTTGTTTGGATGGATACTTGAGCCCACGTAGAAGGGTGCAGTGGCAGAAGGCTGGCCAGGGCTAAGAAGCCATAGGATTTCTTGCACCCTGGCCTCCCCTTGAGCCTCTCCCCGACCACCCACCAGAACACCCCCTTTTATTTCTCTCTGAGGACCTATTTGCTGTCTCGGGAAGCAGCCAGTGTGGTTCTCTCTGCAGAGGACAAGGAGGGGAACTCAGAATCCCCTTCCCAAGGTTCTAGCGGTACCTGAGGCCTTGGCAGAGGGAACAATCCTATGGTTCAGGACGCTCTGCCAGGGATGACACAGATTGCTCTTTCTGTCAGCTAGTATTGATTGACACGAAATATGGGCACAGCAGTTCTGTTGCCTCTCTGCCACATGATCGTTTATCCTTGCCAAGCTGCTGCATATTCCTCACCCGTACCTTCTTAAAGACACTGACTTCTGCAGATTGCATGCTTTGAATGGTCTACAACCAAATTTTCAATTGAACCGCAGCTCAAGTATTTTGTGAAACCTTTGGGGTCAGCATTAAATGACAACTAAGATCTATCACAGCAGCTCACCTCTAAAGTAGCTGTACTTTCCATCTGAAGCCACTATGCCAAATTTGCTGACAGCTTACCAACTCTTTCCATAAGACAAGTGCATTTTGCTGTAGACCTAATAAAACTACTCAGCACTTGTAGACATCTAATGCTAAGTGCATTTTTCCAATTGTTCCATAGACTCAGAGACTCCATGACATACAATATTTATATCAACCAAGGAAGAACTGCATACAAGTATTTTACTACAAAAGATTACAGATGGCCTAAACCCACTGAAGTGGCTTGCGCATGACATTTTTGAACTGGGGATTTCTAGCTCAAACCACACCATGCAGCTCCGGAAAGATTGTATAGATGTTGAACTGCAGTCGGTATAGAAATTCCTAATAGACTCTGCTCAATTTCTTTTTCTCCAGTGCTGATAAAATCCTAACCATGTAGGAAACTGTTCATATGCAAGTCTGTCTCTTATGTCATTGTTTCTTATACCAGGTATACTGGAAAAGTTAGGTAAATGTCTGTCATGTGAAAAAGTACGTCTGTTTTGCTCTGTGCAACACATAATGGGAATTAATTCAGCAGATTTAAGCAAACTGTTCTTTCTTGCAGTGGTGGTTTCTATACAGCATTCCTTAACATATACAGTGTGCTTGATAAAGAACAACAAATGATGATTGCCCCACCAGCTTTTACTCTTTGCTTATTTGTTAAACTTTGAATCCAGCCTTTCCTCCAAAAAACTCAAAGCAATGTACATTAAAAGCCTCCTCCATTTTATCTCCACAACCACACTATGAGGTAGGTTAAGCTGAATGGCAACAACTTTCCTCAAGTCACCCAGTGAGCTTTGTGAGACAGTATGGATCAGATCTCCAAGTTCAAGCTCAGCACTCTATCCATTATATCTCACTGGCCATTAACTACTGCACATAACAGGGATAATAATTAGTTTACTTTACAGGGCTGTTGCAAAGACAGTAAGTGACGTGAGGCACTTTATACGCTCTAAGAAAAGAATCCTGTACATGTTTAAAAGGAAAAACATCCCATACCCAGCATTTCCCAGTTGGCAGGGCTGGTTGGGAATAGCAGGAACTGTAGATCCTTTTTTTTCTTTCTAAACATGCATAAGATTGCACCTAAAGCACCATTTATTGGCATACCTATGTTGCTATAGCATTTGGCCGGCAATTTTGGATGGAGAAAGATGAGATTATGGCCCATTACTCCCAATATTCCTCTAGCAAAATAAGAACATATGGAGATAACCTGAATCACACCCAAGCATGCCTCTAATGGTTCATGCTGGGCATAACAACAATAGCCTTCTCTCATTCTTTGGCCACAAGCTTCTGTATTTATTTTTATTTATTTATTTTTAGACTATTTGTATGCCGTCCTTTGCAAGAGCCTCAGGACAGCTTACACAAATAAAATACAAATATCAACATAACATAAATTAATAAATTAACTGAGGCTGTATTCAGAGATAAACTGACTCTGGTCACAGAAGTTAAGTTACCTTTGACAATAAACGGGTGCCCACAAAACCAGTGTCTATCATGCAGGGCAAGCTGTGGCTCTGCAAGTGATGTTAGACTATTCTCATCAACCCCAACCGGGAGCCATGCCGGCTGGGCTAACGAAAGCCGGTGTCAAACAACCACTGGACGCTCACCAGGGCGAACGGCGCGCTACCGTCAGTGGTTAGATGGTTGGACTGGGGATCACGGAAGACAGGCTTTAATCCCCACTGAGCTGTGGCGCTTACTGGGCCAGTCACTGGCATTCAGCATAACTTACCTCTCAGGGCTGAGCAAGGATAAACTGGGTGAGGGAAGGACACGCTAGCCCGCGCAGTGCAAGACGCGCCACGGAGACACCGCACGGCGAACAAGTAACTTTCCCACAACCGGGACGACGCTGGGAAGCAGCAAGCAGGAGGCAGCTCCGACGGAGGCCGCTGAGCCCTCGTCGGACTAGCGCCACGCAGGGAGCGCTGCCAGCCTGGAGGAGTCCTCGGCTCGCCTGCCTTCAAGCCTCACAGGGCCCCCGGGCAGGCGACACCAGCGGTGGCCCACCTGGCAGGGTCGTGGCGAAGAGCACCGCGCGGCGGCACAGCGCCCGCTCCGGCGTGGCCGGCCGGCTCCCCGCGGACAGGCAGCGCCGGCCGGCCGGCCACGTCAGCTCGCCGACGCGGACCCGACTCCCCCCGCCGCGACTCACCAGGTTGAGCGGCCCCTCCATCACCTCCATGGGCGGCTGCGGGCACATGGGGGCTGGGCGGCCCGCTCGCCGCTCTGGCCCGAGCGTCCGCAGCCCGGCCTGGCTCCCGCAGCCACCTCCCGCCGCGGCGGCCGCCGTAAACACCGCCGCCCCGAGGCGCTTCCGCCCCGCGCGCTCGCAGTGACGTCATCGCGCCCGCGCCGGCAGGCGTCGTGGGCTCCCCGGCCCCGCCCCGCCTCCCCCCGGCGCCAACGGGCGCTCCGAAGACAGCCCGGGCAGCGCAGGCGTCGCGAAGCGAAGCCCTGTGTCCCCGCCCACACGTTCCGCGGGGCGTTCATTGGCCGCTACTCTTACCCGCCCCGCCCTGCTGCTCTTGATTTGACGGGAGGCCGCGTTGTTTCCCTCATCCCGCCTTCCGCAGTGCTTTGGGCTTCGCTGATTGCTCGCCGGCGACCTACTAGGCGAAGCGCCGAAGGGGCGGGGAAAGTCGGCGCTCCTGGAAGAGGGATTCCCCGGCCCTGCCGTGTAGTGTAATTGGCTGTCGATTTCTTGGCTTCAGCGACTGTGACATGTCCGACGCCGCTTCGCGGGCCAGTGTGGCGTCATCTGCGCGCGACGAAGGGCTGTCATCTTCCAGGTGGCGCGGAGGTGCAGCGTGGGAATTGCTGCACTCCAACAGCCTTTCCCCTCCGACACCCTCCAGAAGTGCTGGACTACACGTCCCATCATCCGCAGTCAACATGATGGGGATGATAGGATTTGGTCCAAAGCAACTTTAGGGTGCCAGGCTGGGGAAAGTCACTATGCCAAGATTAGGCATATAGTAGCAAAGGGCTTCAGGCGCTCCTGAAATTGGGTCAGCCTCCCTCCATTTACTCCAGCCTTGTGTACTGCTGAGTAGTAGCAACTTTGCAGGGCCTCTGTCGTGAGAGAGCTCTCCCTTCCCTTCCCATCACCCCATCAGTTCCTAAACTGGTGATGCCCGGTTTGGATCTGGGACATCTTGCCTGCCACGCCTGGGCTCTTCCAGCGAGCCCGCATTTTCACCACCAGTCTCTGTCACCAGCTGCTGTTCTCACCCTGTTTCTCTGCACAGCTTCTGCTTATTTCCTTGGCAGTCAGAGAAGGCCAGTGCAGAAATAACAGCTGCATTCACTGTGCAGAGCCAGGGCAAGAGGCAGGCGAACAGGTAGATTGCAAATTGTGAGGGGGAAGAGGAGGAAGTCCAGGGGGCTCCTGTAGGAGGACCTCTGCTGGCATGTGACAATGCCAGACCAGGGCTACACAGTGCCAGCTCTCCATGATTGACCAGAACACATACAGTGCTGCAGTGGATGGGAATGTTGCATTTTCCTATCAACCACCTGAGTCGTATTTATGCCATCAGGCTGGGCCTTAAAGTAAATTGTCGGCACGTGAGCTGCAAAATAGATCTTACTGTAAACATTTTTGCCTGATAGATTTGGGGTGCTCTGGAGGAGAAATGACTCTCCTCGGTGCCATGGGGTGGTGGAAAAAGAAACACAGAAAACAGGCCAGCTCACCATTTTAAAAAATAAAATAAAATCTCGTTACCAGGGCTGTCACCTGCCTTCAGCAAAATAAAATGTCACATGGAGTCCAGTGCTGGATTTTGAAGAACTTCTGGTTATTCATTTTTTAAAAAAAATAAATAAATCAAAACTCACAGGTATTCCAGTACACTGCTCTGCCCCCAGGGGAGGTATCTGTGGGCCCAGGAGAGCCCTTGCTCCTCCCTTACCCCAGGGTGGCGGCTCCTTTACTGGTGGGATTTAACTTGCTGCTTTATGGAAGCTTCTTCCATTTTTATTGGAGCAGGAAAAATAGATCCTTTACCTGTTTTTTCCCTCTAGGGTTTGTACTTCTCTGCTTTTCTGTAGAATGCATTAACCACCCACAAGGCAGTGCTGTGATTTAAGTGCAGTGCAAATTTCTGGCTTTTCATGAGACTTCTTCTGGCTTGAAATTTAATACCAGACTTTCCTCACTAAAAAGAAAACAAGAACCAAATGAACCATGAATATGGGTACAAAACACAGGAGAAGCCCTTGAAGAGGAAGATGTTGTGAAAAGATGGTACAGACTTCGATGCTGAGGGGTCGCAAGTGTGAAATAAAAGCCCTCATGGAGATAAATGCTAGATTTCATTTCAGTTGCATGAAGGGTGATTCAGAGTTGAAAGGTATATGTAAGGCTGAAGAGAAGAAGGAGAGGAAAAAAAACAGGTTGTCAGATGGAAATGAAGTGCAAAAAAAGTGTGTGTGTGTGTGTGGGGGGGAGCAATCTCTGCTTTGGCCACCCCTCTGGAAATTGCAATACATTTCTTTTGAGGGATAAATAAATACAACATTCCTTCCTGTGGCAGTGGATTCTGTAGTTTAACTGTATGCTCATCCTGTGACCTTTTACCTCTCCTGAATCTCCCACTATCAGCTTCATGGGGTGACCCCATGTTCTAGTATTATGGGAGGGGAGGAAAAAGTTTCCCTCTCCACTTTCTCCACTCGGTGCATCATAAACACCTCTGTCATGTCTTCCCTTAACTTTCTAAGCTAAACAGTCCCAGCTGTTGCAGCCACTGCTCACAGGGGAGCCGCTGCAGCCTCTCGATCATTTTCCTTCCACCGTTTCCCACTAACAAGGATTCCGTCCTCCACCCTATTTTTCTTCCATTGAACGGCAAAGATGCAGGTTTGTAACAGCATATTCTTACAGATCAATTTGTCTAATAGGTAGGTGCCCCTGTTATCCATCCATCCAACCCCCATTTGTGAATACAATTTCTGTGCACATGAGGGGGGAAGGTAAGAGATCTAAACCGAGTTTTTTCAACTAATTTCTAAGTTTAGGAATTCCCAATTAAGGGATTTGGAGCTGATTCCATCCCCAGTATATTTACAGACATGTAGTTCATAACCCAATCCTCTAGGTGTCTTCAGTGACCAGCATTCTTTAAAGAAGAAAAGAATTTCATGAATGATTGTGCTGTGCCTGAAATGTTATATGAACTTGGCATGGGAGTGCTACAACCAAGGCCAGGATGTGGTTGAGCCAAGCCAAGCAGTTCGGCTTTAACTGGTTTTACTTTCTTTTCTCCAAATATCAACCACTTCATTCACAAAGGAAGCATTTTCATTATTTGCTCTCCACCGTATGACATTAACTGGTTTCTTCACGTGTGATCCAGATTGTTTCGTTTGTATCTTGGCCAAGGTCACAGGAGGAAAGGATGCTGCACTATGCCAAGTCAGGCAATCGGTCCATCCAGTTCAGAATTACCTGCGGTGACTAGCAAATACTCCCCTGGGCCTTTCCTGGGGCTTTTGTGAGCCCCACCTGGAGATGCCAGGAATTGAATCCGAGACCTTTTGCGTGCAAAGCGTGTGTCCTCGTACTGTGTGCTGGGCTCCCCTCGTGCCTGCGGCTTCTCCCCATAGTAGACTTGGTCAGTGTATCCCATCTTGAACTGGTTTAGCTTCCTGGTTGGTATGAACATCGAAATGGCCTCCCAAGTTAGTAGAGGGGAAATTACTACAATGAGTATACAACTTTTTCTGTTTGGGGTCTTCCAAATGGAGTATGCCCAGTAGCACCGACTGTTGCTTTTCCATTGTAAACCACAAGCAGACTTGTTCTGGAACTGCCCACACTGATCAGGGAAATTCCCACGACTACCCTTTCACTTTGGTCTGCAACAGTGGATGGCGAATGGCAGGACAGTGCTTCTCTCTGTAGCTGCCACCTACAGTCTGACAACTACCCCAGAAGCAACAGCGTGGGCAAAATGGGGGCAGGCATGAAATGAAGCCACAAGCTGAGTCTGTTCCAAGCACAAGCCACGGCATGTTCAAATATCATTTTAAATGTTCTGCTAAAAGTCCTCACTGCAGTGAGCCAGTGGGAGAACGAACAGAAAAGTTTGCGTTTTCTGTGTGCCTTAAAGCCTTGTGTATGCAAAGGAAAAGAGTGATAGCTACTTGAAGCAGCAGCAGAGAGAGACAAGAAGACGGGATGGCCTCTGTGCGAAGTATTTGTGGATGCTCAGGAACCTGGTTCGGGGCCTCCCCTGTGCTTTGGAACCGTTCCTGCATTTTTTTCGATCAAAGAAGGTCTGGTATATTCTGGAAATTGTGCTATGAGGAGCGTGTGTATTTTTGCAGTCCCTCTACACTTCGGGGTCATGTAATGGGGCATATAAAAAGGCAGAGAAAGAAAAAAGCCTCCAGTGTGAAGGAGAGAGCAGCACGACTTGCTGGCCGGCCTGGGACAATGGCAAGGTCTCCCCCCAGTGCTGTGCCACATTACCTGTCACACCTCCCCCCTGAAAAAGCCCCCACTGTGGGCTCCCATAATCCCACAGCAGTAGCACCGCTTCCTTCCTATGGAACTGGTGTTCCTGGAAAAACAAACCAAAAACAGATTTTCCCCATCATGATGAAATATAGCAGGAGCAGAGGAAAGCCCTGGATCACGTGGGACAAACCGCAACATCCAAATGACATTATTCGGGCAACCCAAAAAATCCCAGGAAGAAGGGAAGCCAGTAGCACCTTAAAAGTTCCATCCAGAAGAGCTCTTGTTCACCTGTGTTGTGCCCTTATTCAATGAGCCTCTGATCTCGGAAGCATCCCCCTTTCCTCCTCTTACCTCTAGGTGGGCCTCTGAACCCATCTCGTGGCTGCACTGTCCGAGGGCTGGGGCCACAGGGACCATAAAGAAGATAAGCATCCTGGTCTTTTCTTTCCCTGTTCCTTCGGCCTGTAAGAATTCCCCCTTTCAAGCGTCCTCCAAGGCTGCTTTTGCAACAGTAAAACCCCATGGCGGTTGTGAAGAGCCGCGCGCGGCAGGAGTGAGACTGGAAGGCAGAAACCCATTTTGGAGGTCCTAGTGAGCCCAGAGGATCTTACGGTAGATTGCTGTCTGAAACTAAAAGTGACCTGCAACATGTACCCATGCAAAGACATTATGTTCAGAAACTTGCAACTGGGGGCTTGAAAATGTGACAGAATCAGTTGCTATATTTCATGCTGGAAGAGATTTTGTGCAAACATTGTGCAAATTTAAAATTTGCCATGATTGCTGGGT